AGCATTCCCCCGCCCCGCAACCCCCAACGGCTCCGCTGCACCTCACCGAGTCCCCGCGCCGTTTTGGCCGGATGGCTCGCACCTTCCTCAGTGTAGACATCCTGGAGGGGGGCGCTCCAGTTCAGCAGGTGCCCAAGGACATGGCCCGATCGTACATCAGTCAGCCAGCCCAGAGATACTCCCCGCTGCTGCCGCTCTGACCCGCTGGGGTTCCTTGTACCTTCTGGCTTTATGCCTACCGCCTAAGCACTGGGCTCACGGCGAGGCACGGAGCACGGCGCACAGACGGGGAGAGCAGCGCCGAGAGGACGTCTGGGCAGGGGCGGGTCTCGCGCGTGGGGGAGCGTCAGGCCTCTGGTCCCTTACCCAGGCACTCGCACTCACCCTGGCCGCCCAGCACACTTGGCAGGCTCCGTCTTGGGAGCGCGCGCACTTTCCAGCCCACAAACTGTTGTGTGGGGAATGCCGGTAAGGCGGGGAAAGCCGGATTCTCCAGACACCCAAGGATGCTGCTACCTGCCCCCCGCCCCACAAGCGCAGTGCCTCAGGGGCGCCCAGTGCGCAGGCGCCAACCATAAGGCCCCAAGGTGCTAGGAGCTCTGGCAGGTTGGAGCTGAGGCAGCGTGGAGGGCCCCGGGGCTGGCAGACTGAAGGGTTCAGGAGAAAATTCCCGGGGTACCTGCTGCCCCTGTTAGAGCAGGCAGATAGCTAGGTATGAGCAGAGAAAGGGGGACACAGACCAAATGGCAGGAATTGGGCAGAAAGGAGGGGCACAGGCCAAATGCTGGAAACCACACATTATTTAAGCACCAGGGGTCCCTGGACAGAGAAAGAAAAGCAGTAACCTTTGGGCTGACAATGAACAAAGAAAGTTGAGAAAAGGCAGGAATTTCCAGTGTCCGAATGTAACCTTTTGCTCATTATGCCCTCATTTCAATAAAATTAGCCTGGCCGATTAAGAGTACCCATCATGCACTGATGCCGTGACACTTCTGAGCCTGACTAAAGACAAAAATCCCTTTGCCCTCTGGGAAGGTGGAGTTGAGATGATAATCAGAGAATGCGACCCCAAACCGTTCCCTCCCCAATAATATTCCGCCCATTCATTTTTACATTCTATGTAACCAACTTGCCAAAGAAACACAGGGCAGCTGCTCACCTGAGCCTGCCTGACCCCTTGAGAGTGTACTATCCATCCTTTAATAAATCCTCACTTTACTTTTTTAACCACTGCATCTCGTCTCTGAATTCTTTCTGGGACAGGACAAGAACTTGGAACACTGGTTGCATCTACCGGCAACATTTCCACCAATGTTTTTACCCCATTCACTACATCTATGTGTTTCATCAATATAGGAAATTTATTTATTTATGTTTGTTTACTAAGGTAGATTTATTTAGAGAGATACACATTGCGTAGAATGTCGGCTGTTTCAAAAGGTGAGAGAAAGGCCATGAGATGTGGCAGGGAATTGATTTAGATGTTTTCAGTTTACCATAGCAGGAGGCTTTCCCCACCCCCAGTATTGTTTTAAAGATTTCTCTACACATATTAATGTGGCTGTATGTCATAAATTTTATCTACTAAATAGCTTCCCATTACATGAATATGCCTTAGATTGTCATCCATCTTCTGTTTATAGGCAATAAGGATAATTTCCATATTTTATAAAGAAAGCTTCAGTAAACTTCCTTGTATACATTCCCTTATGCAGATGTGTTCAGTTTCCTCCAGTTTACAGAAAAGAATCTATATGGAGATGGAAATTATAGGTTGTAGAATGTGTGTATGTTTGTTTATATATTCCATTTAAAACTTTCTTTCCAGCTTCATCGAGCTATAATTGACATAGTACATTGTGTAAGCTTAAGGCACACACTTGTGTATTACAGGATGATTACCACTGTGTTGTAGGAGGTAATCAAGAGGACGTCACTGCCTTTTGACCTATGAGCTGCACCCAGGCATTGAAGGCTCGTCACCCCCTCCCTTGTCCTTGGAATGTATCTTCTGTCCACTGTGCCCACAGTAGGAGACATTTTCAAGGGTGCAGCCTTTAGAAAATAATGTGTTGTTGAGGCCACGTGTACTGAATATGCAACTAAATCCTGGTAAGGCCTCTACAGAAACCTTTAAGATTCTGGTGGGTGGGTATGGAGATCTACTCATCTTGCGACCGCCCAAGACAAGTCTTGTGTGTAAGTTCCCTTGCTTGTTAAACCTGCTGCGTACCAATCTGGAGTGGCCTGCCTCTTCCTTCTGTCTCTCCTTGCCATCCATGTATGGGGGCCAGTTTCAGATTTGATCCAGGGAACTTCTGAGTTTTCGAACC